AATTTTAATATAGCCATCAGGTTTTTTCCCAGAAGATGCTTAACTGAGGGATGAAACGAACCGGCGCGATCTTGAGGTTACGGGTATGTATCGGAATAATTGCCTCTTTAAGAAATACCTTCCAGATTTCCCATGGCCTGATGCATGCAGTCCGTCTGATCTAGACGAGTTAGCGACTTAACTCAATAACATGCAAAAAGTCTAAAATTAGTATAGCAGTCCGACGCGTCAGCGGTCATGCCTAGTAATCCATAATTCGTGTTTTCAGTATTTTAAGCACACGCAATGTTCCGCCCACGATTGGACCAAAGGGGCCATTCTATACATGTAAATGCATGTTTCCGTCAACTGTCATGTACCAATTTCGATCATTTGCTTCCCGCCATATTAAGGTACGCGTCCATAGGTCTACATCACTAATCGACACTCCATACGACGTTATTGGGATTCATCACAATAGTTTTCGAGAAATTCCGTCCACTTAGGCTTAGGCATATGCGGCCGTTTAGTGGGAACAATCCGTTGCATTCGGTACGGACATGTGAACGCTTATTTTTAGAGTAATACTGTGTATGTTCCTTACGTAAAAACTTTGGAGCAACAAATAAAATTAAAAAAAGAATCAGCCGTAGGCCGTTTTTCGTAAGGACTTTTCGGGCTCTTTCTACATATTTTGAGGATACGGTGCAAAGTTTTCTGTCTGACAACGAATTGGCGCTCCAATCGACGAAAATGCATAGTGCCTGCATGGGTGTGTACATGTTCGTATAACAAGTTTCAACTTCAACAGATAGTTTGTCGACACAAATTTTTTGTCGTACACGTTATGCGCGGTTCTCATTAAGACGAATAAACTTGGTGCTGTTACCAAATTCGGCGTGTTGGATGGATTAACCCCTAAGAAAAATCTTCCAAAGATAACAAAAGTCTTTCAGTCAGACGGGTATGCAATATTACATTTGCGCAAGGGTAAATAAAGTGAACGAGCGTAAAATAATAAAGGGATCGCCATAGACACTGACAGCCAGGAGTTACTCATAGCGTTAACAAGACTTGGAGTAACATCTGCACTAATTTTGGGGATGAACTGAATACAGTGGCGGAACAAAACAAAGTAACTTTAATGTGGGTGCCTGGACATTCAGATAACGTAGGAAATGAAAGGGCGGATGAGCTCGCAAGAAGAAGATCATCCAAAACCTTTACAGACCCAAAACCTGCCTTGGGGTGCCAAAAAGCACAATCAGGAGCCAAGTCAAATAATGAGAAGAATGAAGAAACCAGCACAAGGGACAATGCCACTTAGTCACTGGATGCAGGAATGGGAAAGAATTTATCTCCAAATACGGCTGCGGAATTGCTCTGAATGAGTAGAAACCGACAAAATAGGGCTGTATAATGGAGACCTGGAAAATAAACAGAATCAGTCTTACATGTCTTATGTGGGTGCGTGGCGCTGGATAACAAAAGACATTAACTCTTCGGGAAACAAAAACTATAACCGAGGTAGTTCAGAACTGTACCGGCACGGAAACTGCACCAACTAATACTAAAATTTAGCAGGCAAGGTACACAAAAACATACAAATGCAACATACAATAAGCCCGAGAGGCTGCAGTGCAGGGACTTTGATCGGGTTGGGAAGGAAAAAACAAAAGTCTACGGGGACTATGTGTCTTCGATTTCAGCTGTTATAAAATGGGCAGCGGAATCTAACGTGGCCGCATGTCCCTTTAAGGATACCCACATGAAAGATGGCCAAAATTCGCAACCACACTTAACTGAGTTCCGCGATATCGTGTTGGACGACAGGCACGTGTAGGTGAGTGAGATACCTGAGGCCGAGGAGGTATCGTATGAAAAGGTGCGAAACATTTTCGGTATAAAACAACAAAGAACTGATGATGCGGAAGCTCCGCGTAAGATACGTACCATATTTTCTCAATCCGCCCAAAAGTGAACGCAGAAGCCGGAGGCTCAGACCCAAAGCAAAGGAAGTTGATTGTGTCTGCCAGAAAGGTTATGATCAGTGTGTTTTCTTATGCGAAGGGGTCTCCGTTAACTGGATGCCTTGAAAAGGACAATTATGGGTGACTACTGGTCCAACCTCCTTGACCAACTGGATGCTAAATCTCGTGGGGAGGATACTGTTTGAAGAAGAAAAAGATCATTCTATGTCAGTAGAACGCACCTGCTCAGGAAGGTGGGATAATAAAAATAATCTATCAAACTGGTTAGCCACTAAAATGTTGACCATCAATGAAACGAAGTATCAGATGACTATTCTTAGATCAAGACAGCACGACACCGATACACTAAAATCCGTGAAGTTACTAGGGGTTTACATTGATGAACACTTGTGGGAAACTCATGTATTCCATGTTCTCGGTTCATTAGCCAAATATAAATATATATATACTAAGTGACATATACATCCGAACACCCAGTTTAAATGATTTTATTTTAATAAAATTTTGTATAAGTACTTAATGAAGCATAATAAGTAAATGATAAAAATTTCAAAATGATTGCACTGCTTTAAAGCCCTTTGACCTTTAATAATGTGTGGATGCACCCTGATGTGCTACGCATTCTCCAATGCGCCTAGGCATGCTTCTGATCAGGTGGTTAATGTCCTCCTGTGGTATCTCATTCCAGGCAACCACCAACTCCTCTCGAAGTGCTTCTAGAGTCTGAGGAGGACGTTGCAAATTGAGCAATCTTCTACCCATCATATCCCACACGTGCTCAATTTGGGATAAGTCGGGAGATCTTGGTGGCCATGGTAACAATGTGACGTCATTATGTTGAAAGAAGTCTATTGTGACTCTTGCAACATGTGGTCGGGCATTATCTTGTTGGAAAGTTGGATCTGCCAGGGTGTCAAGATAGGGTAAAAGATGGGGTTCTAGAACTTCGTGGATATAACGCTGTGCGTTCATGTTACCTCTGATGAAGATTAAAGGTGACCTGGAACCATAAGCTATAGCCATAACTCCAACAGTGTGATGAACATGTCTTTCAACAAAAAACTGTGGATTCCTCCTTTCACCACGTCGCCTTCTAACCCTGACACGACCATCGTGCATGCCTAAACAAAATCGACACTCGTCACTAAAGACAATACTGTTCCATTCCTGATCCCAGAGTGACCGTTGTCTGCACCACTCAAGGCGATTACGTCGGTATTCTCGAGTTAAAGGGAGGACCCAGTGTGGCCGGTATGAAAACAAGCCAAAACTTCTCATTCGTCGGTAAACACTTCGCATGCCAATAGGTCTTCCGTGTTCTGCAAACCATTCATTTGCAATGGACCTGGTAGTGGAGAAACGGTCCCTTAAGGCCAATAATCTTAGGCGGCGATCTTCACGGTCTGTTGTTCTACGGCGGCGTCCAGTGCCCCTTGCTCTTTGCGTACGGCCTTCTCGAAGCCATGCCTGACAACAGCTAACCACAGTGTCTACACTTCTTTGCACTCTAACTGCAATTGCCCGAAAAGAAGGTCCAGCTTCCCGAAGTCCCACTATACGGCCCCTATCAAACTCACTATGTTGACGAAATCGTACAGGTCTCCGTACTCTAGGCATCGTAACTGATCGTAAAGGATGTCAAGAACCAAAATCCGTCAACGTTGATTCTTTACTGCGGCTGAAATATTCATTTTTATAGTCAACGCCAAACAAAGTGGCGTGCACGTCATCACGATAAAAATTCCCCGACCTAATGCCTAGGTTTCTATCACAAACAATTGCTCTATTGCAGTTTCATATTAATGTGATATATAAATTGTAAAATGGTCATTACTCTCTTATTATGGTTAATAGTCATATAAACATTGTTATTAAAATATCACATAAGTTGCTTTCTGATAAATTTAGACGCATTATGCGAAATAAAATGTTTTGCAAACGCTCCAATCACTTATCGACATGTAAACGCACTAAACCGATTTCGCAGCGTTGACACATTGTCACCTTGAAACTTATTTAGACTGGGAACTGACATTTGTATTAATTTTGACACTGAATCAATTTCTGGCATTTCAAATCTTTATAAATCCTTTGGCCCCGCATACTGTAAATGCGAAGAAATGTATATAACAAAAAAAAATAGGAAAATAATAGGTTGGCTCTTGTTGTGGACTTCGTGTGTGTTTTTTTTCCCTCTCCATCTTTGTTTCCTCAGGTTACACCCGTATCCGGATGTGTGAGCATGTGTATCTAATTTTGTAGTTGCATATGTGCATTCATTTCGGGCCTGATGAAGCCACCAGCAGAAATACGTATCGCTCGGGTTACCTATCCTATTTTCTGCTCGAATCCACTTTCCTCCTTTTTGCGGATTTTGCCCATTATTTTCCTATTTTTTTTTTTTGTTATATACATTTCTCCGCATGACTATTTTCTCTATCTATATATATAGGTAGATATGTATTATGTATATATGTATATGTGTGTACATATGTACGTATATATGTCCTACTGTTATTTTTCACAACTTATAAGACTTGCTGTATCTGCTTTTATTGAATGATAATATTATGAGTTGATGCATTTGAGTTTAATTTGAACATCAGTCATTTGCCATTGCTGCTTTTTGTATTATTTTTTTTTCTTTTCACTTGTGTACCTAACACAAATAAATAATAGAATTGAATTAACTGCGGTATTTGGGATATGATTTGCTCGACATCTTTTCTCCAAATTTAGCGCCTCTAAATTCCCGTCTATTCCCAAATTTAAAGAAATTTGTTTCTGGAAAAAGCTTCAGGTTCAATGAAGAAGTTGAGAAGGTCACATAAGATTATTTGGCTGGCTTTCAGACTTCCACTTCCAAGAAAGAATCCTAATGTCAGAGTAACATTGGACGTAGTGTGTTGTAGTCGAAAGGAGAAATATGTAAAAATAAAATCATTTGTCGGGTGGAGAACTATTCATCATTTTCGCTAAAATCGATTAGACCTACCGCTAACTGGCTTGCTCGCAGTTAGATAATTTAACTTACGGTAAACAATCAATGGCACGACCCTGGACACAAATCCAGCTAACTCTGAAGACGATGCTCTGCAGTCAAGATGCGCACTCTTGAAGTTCCTTGGTGTACTTCTAATCTCTAGCTGATTCACTGTGATGTAGGATGACTTGTCTGAATCTATTACCCCATCTAGCATCGTTCCATTGTTCCACCAAGTCACAGATGGCTTTGGATGACCTGAAATTAACATTAGCTTATGATTTCGTAGTCAAAATTTCACAATCTTGTTCCGGTGATTTGTTTTTGTAATATACAGGGTGTTTCAAATTCGATCCTCACCATTGGGGTCTCGGAAACTGTAAGAGATAGGAAATCGCTTAAATGGGGGCAAAGTTGCGTATTTAGATCAATTATCAACAAAATGCCACTTCCGAGATTCAAAGTACTTCTAGAAAGAGACGGAAGAAACCGAATTTTCTCAAAACCGTATTAATTGTTTCTTGACTTTGTAGTGGAATTTCTAAATAAATTGCACATTAGCACTGCCACTTTTTTCCTCTACAAGATGGCATAATTACAATTTCATTATGACGTTTCGTCTCTTGCCTTCCAGCGTCAACTTTATTTTTTGTTATGGACGCCATATTGGATTTTTACATGAATAAATAAGATTTTTTAGTTCTGATTCCAGAAAGGTATAACACGCCATACATTAACATTGCCAAACCTTAGTTATTTCAAAAAAGCAGAATTTTCTAGGTAGGCCTTGAAATTATCAGACAATCAAAATCACTTTTACTTTTTCCTGACTTTATTTGTGATGCGATTTCAAAATAAATTGCATGTTGCCATTGGTACTTATTCTCCTCAACAATATGGCGTAGTCCAGTTTTCAATTCGACATGTCTTCTTTCGATTTCCATCACCAACTTGTTTTTTCATATGGACGCTATATTGAAATTTTGTACATAAAAATTATAAGGAAATGAAAAGGTATGACGAAACCTGAACACAACATGAAAATTTTATTGATGGTAATAACATTAATAATCATAAATAAGCAGAAGTAAATCATAGCAATGTCTGACTATTCTCTGTACATTGTTCAGTGCTCGACTTATTTCTCTTCTTCTAAGTCTTTCAAACGCTGTTGCTGTGTTCAATTTGAGGTCTGGTACAAGAAACAAATGAAATCTGATAATTTCAATGCCTACCTAGGAAATTATGGTATTCTAGAATAACTAAAGATTCGCAATGTCAATGTATAACATATTTTTTAAATCAGAATTAAGAACACCATTCATCTGCGCAAAGCTCCAATATGGCGTCTATAACAAAAAATAATGTTGATGCAGGAGGACAAAGTACGAGGTATCAATAATAATAATAATAATAATTTATTTCATTGTTGAATAGAACAGAAAATTATATAACAAATGAAAAGGTCATAAAAATAGTGGAGACGAGTTGAAAAAGTATAAAAACATAGATCTAAACAAAAAACTTCTCCACGGTGTAGAAACAATTGTCTACCAAAAAAAGTTTTAGTTTTCTTTTGAAAACAGCTAAACTGTATCCATCGAAGAAACAAAGTAAAATCAAACATATACACCGGTATTGCACGTGATCAAGAACTTAACCGTAGGAGACGCTACAGGGCCGTATCAAGCTATTGTGACTGATCTATCAAAAAATGTCGTACAAGATATGTGTTGCTGTAAATTCTATCAAAAGCATAGTAAATTATCAGGAATATACCACGCCTTTCTAATCATATTTCGACATTAGGAATCAGTGCAAAAAATTCTGTATTCACCATTTCAGCAAAATGTTACTAAAACGCACACGGAAAAAACTTGTGGACCATCTCAATTGAAATTGTTCATATTTTATTATTAACTTACATATGTACCCAATAATATTTACAAATCAACCTTCTATTCACAATGCAGAGCAAATTTTTTTGAGCAAATAGAAACTACAGACGTAGTAGTAGTAGTACAAAAGTTTATTACAGACTCCATAAAGTTTGTTAGTTTGATAGCTATTAAAATTTACATGAGAAATAGGAAGAAGGTCAAAATGGCACTATTATGCTTTGGAACTCCTAAATTAACCCTAATTTTGTGTAATTATAAATTTGGAATTTCCACATTAATAACTAGAAACTTACACTTTGATTGCAGTCTATAATGAACTTACCTGTCTTGCCAAAAAGCCCGTTAAACTGCCAGTCTTAATGGTATCAATCGATTTATATGCTGTATTCCGAGGAGCTTGAATCATCAGAATTGTTGATGTCAATTATAAGGGGTTCAACTTGGGTGTCAATGATATTGTCCATATCCCACATTTTGCTTTCAACCTTCTCTTGGACATGGTCAATACATGTTCTCCATTTTGCTGGCGTAATTCTATCGACAGCAACATCAAACAGTTTTTTAAGGTCAGAAAACTTAAAAGTGCTGTTATTTGACGCCCCGTATTGCTTGATGTCGGCCCAAATCAACTCGATAGGATTCAGTTCGCAGTGATAGGGAGGCAGCCTGAGAATCGTTTTATTTTGGTTTTTGGCCATTTCGTCAACAATTTTTAAATCATATTTATACTTATGTCGCTTGACTATATTTATCAGCTCAGCTTTGATCATTGTTTGGTCGAAGTCGATCTTCTTTGAGACAAGCCACTGTTGAATGTCTGCCTTTTTGGTGGCCATTGTTGGCATTTTTTCCAATTTTCTGGAGTGGTACGGGGCATTATCCATCACAATAACTGCGTTATCATCAAGTGTCGGCAAAATTTTTTTGAACCAATTTTCAAATGAGTTACCATCCATTTCTTCGTGATAGTCTCCAGTTTTTTTGGATTCAAATGCCCACAATGCTTCAGGAACAAATCCATCTACGCTACCTATGTGGCAAATGATCAGGCGTTTTTCCTTGCCTGAAAGTAATTAGTTATTTTACTTCTCAGCGAGCGCACTAAATGACGAAATTAAGCAACTTACTCTTTTTAGGTTAGTGTAGGATAGGGTCTTAGATTAGTTTTTGGGTGAAGGAAATACTCAGAAACTTGGATGAGATAGCAAAACTGAGTTCGGAGCTTCCAAATCATTGATTCGATCAGAAAATGAATTATCTGCATCCAAAAAAGTTCATATACTTCGAAACTTACCTGCAGGATTTTTCAATCCCGTCGAAAGGCCATCTAAAAAAGCCTGCCTTGAGGACCTCACAGATCTGTCTACCCAAACCTTTCCCTGCGTATGCCCCGCGTTCACCCATGTTTCGTCTAAATAATAAATTTTTCTTCCTTCAGCGCGGAATTGCCTAATTTTTCTAAGGTATTCTCTCCTCCAGATAACAATTTCTTCCTTTTCTATCAATAAACTATTCCTTCCTCTTTTCAAAAATCGAAAGTCTAGTTCTTTCAACAGCTTATGGAACGTAGATCTTTTAAAATTTGGCAGGTCCTCATCATCATTCACTTGCTTCAATATTTTATCTATTGTAGGTATTTCATTCCTGAAGAAAAAGTGATGTACTTTTCTTCTAATGGCACTTTTGTCAAAGTCATCTATTTTTTCGATGATTTTTTTTCTCGCTGGATATGTTTTTGGCTCAGATAGTGAGTGATTTTGTCTATATTCCTTCAAGATTTTGTAAACACTTGATCGACCTACTCCAGAAATTTCAGCAACCTTACATACGGTATTTTCTATAGCCAATCCACTATTCTCTTGCATCTGGTTCTTGTAGATATTTAGAATAATTTGTTTTTCACCTGCGCTAAGATGAAGCTTTTTAGCCCTTTTTCTGGGTGGCGTTAAGCTGATTTCAACCACTTCATCAGCTGTATCTGTGTCAGACATTTTAGACTAATATTAAATTTCCGCAAGAAAAATCAAGTCAAGACGTGCATAAAACGTTCGCGCTCATAAACGGGTATCCGTAACTGATTACAATCCTGTGCGTGGTGACGAACCATCAACGTAACGCTGAGAGTTCCCTCTACTATGCAGCGTTGCCAGGCTTAATGTCACAATGATCATGTTTTATTGGGAAAATTGTCAGAAATCGCCGAATGTTGAACAGAAACATTACAATAAGTCTAACCTTGAAATGTGGGGCTAGAAATCGATATTCTTATAGGGGGGAAGGGTAGGGAGCTGTTATGGTTCCTATTAACCTTGGTGAAAGTTGGAAACGGTAATATCATATATGGCATACATTCGGTTGAAGGTGTGTGCACGGAAAATAGATTGCGGATAGGATTTTAATAGATAAATCTGCACAAAAAAACACAAAAGAAGATTTTTGTATTTCCCTGAAGAATATCTCAAGATTATTTCAGATGTACTCATCGAAACTTTATGGAAGGATTATCGAAACCTTAATTTCAATTGCGATAGGGCCACATACCTCGACATCGCATTAATGTGAAAAATAAGACAATAGAAAAAAATTCCCTCACTGATGCTATCTCTTAGGAAAAATTTAACTATAAAGATTGCACAAAAATTTTCTTCACCTTTTTGAGCTTGTTTTCGCATCTCCGTATATGCCGTTCATAATTTGCTGCAGATCAAATTGGAATATACCTTTGTGATGCCATTTATTGTTATATAATGTCCGTTACAACAGTTATTGCACGTATTGCACCAACAGATTGATTTGTGATCCATGCGAATGTGATCAACCACTCTGGCGAAAACTCGCCGAGCGTGGCAACCGTGCGACTTTATCTGGAGGCTCGTCGCTACAAGCCAATCAGGAAGAGGCCGACAGAGCGCCATGGCTACCGATCACGCGTTGATCACGAATCAACTACTGTTTACGATTACTTTGTAGCTTCGTTAGATACACAGTATATTTGATTCATTCCTAATATCATCATTGAGCTTATTAAAAATCTTACATCCCATATATCTGAATATTTTTTGGTATGCCGTAGTTCGATGTCACGGCGGGATTAAAAGCAGCTTAGACCTAGTTGGATATTCATGCTGGTATTTGACTTCAAATTCGCGCTTATTTTTGAAAACAAAGCCAACTCATAAATGTAAATACCTATAACAGTCAACATCTTGAGTGCTCTAAAGGATTCTCTACAGGATTGGCGCCAACCAAGGTTATCAATAATTATAATGGCATATTTTTGCAGCAGGAGAACTCTTACAGTTAGTGAACTACTTCCCCAATTGAGAATACCATACCGGATATGAAAGTTGACAGTGGCATAGTATAAAGTTTTTAAAATTGGTTTACTGCACTGCTTTGCTAAGAATTTCAAGCCATAGCAACTCCTTCGCAATCTATTGCACAAACATTCAACGTGGAACCCCCGCGACATCTGACAATCAAGTATCATCCCCAGCATGTTAACTGAATTAGATGATGGAATAGCTCTGTTAGTATGATCAAAAATGTTGAAATCTTGATCATCTTTTAATGCGAATTTCATAATGCTGGTCTTTTCTGAGTTTACTCGGAGGAAGTTATTATATTAATAATATATTAATTATTATACATTTTTTAAATCAGAATTTACCATTCATCTGCGCAAAAATCCAATATGGCGTCTATAACAAAAAATAATGTTGATGCCGGAGGACAAAGTACGAGATATCATATTGGAATTCTAATTATGCCATCTTGGAGAGGAAAAAAAGTGCCAATGCTAACGTGCCATTTATTTCATATTCATATATTCGTATCTTTCTCAGTTTCCTAGATCCCAATGGTGAGTGTCGAATTTGAAACAACCCTGTATGTGGACGATAACTAGACAAGTGAAACTTCATTCAGAATGAAAAAAAAACATGTCGACAAAATTATTTTTCTGCATTCTTTGAATTGTACTTAAGAGACAATGAGCTTATGATACTTTTGATCCGTTTAAGGTACGTGTTGGCAGGTCCTCACACTACGAATTGCTCTTGGTAAACAGATAAACTTATGGTAATGCGTCCATTGCTTCTGCGTCAAACGAAATGTCAAAGTAGGAGATGTTTACAATCTGATTTTCTTTATCATTCAGATGTATCCGAAGAGTTGCTCTTCAAGCAATTAAATTCGGATTGCCGACGCGATACTTCGAACGCATGCTCGTTTCGATAATGAGGTATTTCGTTGTTTGGATGTCATTATATACTCAGTGACATTAGGAGTGTTGCACCCAAAAAAATAATTCCTTCAACTTGCTTTTTTGCAACATGCTGTGGCAACAATGTCAACGTTTTATCTTTGTTTTTGTTTACCTTTGTTTAAATGTTATCTCTTAGTTTTTGTGAATACAGCAGTTTCCGAGAGTTGAGTAGTACAGATATTTTCAATTATTGCCCTTTCATTTACTAGTGTTATGCATAGCAGAATGCCTCGAGTTATCACCATGTTAGCGACTTTGACAGAGGTAGAATTATTGCCTATCGGGATGTTGGTTTGTCCTATCGCGAAATTGGCCGCCATGTTAATTTATGTATTTATTTGCGGTTAGTACACTGCTCGAACAGATGATTCCATTTAACGAACAGGAAATATACAAAATACAAAAAAAAAGAAAAAAAATCAATAAACAACGTATCAAGTACATTACACACATTACATCCAAATAAGTTCTTAACCTACAGTCAAAAACGACCTTTTTAAAAGTGATATAGTGCAATGAAAAATGTCTACTAAATTCTTTACTTTTTCATAGTTGTTACACATTACATATAATGGCAAAAAAAGTAACACATTGGTACGAGGCACAGGTAAATTGAAATTGGTATTGTTAAACCTTATGTTTCGGTACGGTACGTGTAATGACAGCTTTTCTAAAATAAACTGGCAATCAACTGTGTTGTTCAAAATTTTATATAAGAAAACCACAGCGCAGTAATTTCTGCGCTTAGATAAATTTACCATATTAAATCTACTGAGCAATAAGTCATTGCGAAATCCAGCCTCAGGATAAATCCCATCTTCCTTGAACCATAAATATTTAGCAAAACGTCGCTGGATCTTTTCAATGCTGTCCGAATGTACATCATATGCAGGGTACCAAATTATACTACAGTATTCGAGCTTACATCTAACAAACGCATTGAATAACAATAAAAGAGTTTTAGCATTATTGAAGCTCTTGCCACACCTAAGTATGAAACCCATCGTCTTGTGCGCACCGGTTACAATTTCAGTAATGTGTTGCACAAAAGTTAACTGTGGGTCGAAAGAAACACCTAAATCCCTCACAATGGAACAACCATCCAAGACTTGACCATTTATGTGATAAGCATAACCAATTATATTCTGCTTACGTGTGAAAGACATATTCTGGCATTTTGTAATATTCAGATACAGCTGATTCAGGCAACACCACTCATACAGACGTACTAGTTCATCCTGAAGCTTCACACATCGACAGTTGTGTCAATTCTAGAAAATAATTTCAAGTCGTCTGCGTACAATAAGTTGCAACAATTTAGTTGGCCACTGAGATCATTCACAAATATAGCGAATAATAGCGGACCCAGGACGGAGCCCTGGGGCACCCCAGATGTCGCAAAAACACTGACAGACCTAAAACCACGGTACTCAACGAAAAGTATTCTGTCCAACAGATAAGATCTGAGGAAATTTGTGAATCCAAGTGATATACCATATCTTAAAAGCTTCTGTATTAGTTCTCCATGGTCAAGTCTGTCAAATGATTTTGAGAAATCCGTATAGATAACGTCAATCTGTCCGCAAGTATCTAAAATTTCAGCAGCATGCTGTTTGAAACATGCAAGATTAGATGTAGTCGATCTACCAGGAAAAAAGTCATGCTGATGTGGAGTGATGATGTGTTTCACATGACTGAATATGATTTCGTGAACAACAGATTCAAATACTTTAGCAATATTACTTAGGATCACAATAGCTCTATAGTTTTCAATATTATTTCGCTCGCCTTTTTTGAAAACGGGAGTAATGCGAGAATTTTTGCAAACCTTAGGATAACATCTCTGTTCCAAAGATAAATTAAATAGAAAAGTGAGTGGCTCAGCGAGCACATGACAACAATCTTTAAGTAAAAAAGAAGGTATTGAATCCGGACCAGTAGAGCATTTGGATCTAAGTTTAGATAAAGCATGGTTGACCTGATCTACTGTGATTTTAGGTAAGTCGCATAACTGACCATTACAAGACACACCAGAGACAGTGTCACCCCTGCCAGAGGTTATGAAATTAGACTGAAAGAATTTAGCGAAAGCATTGACAATATCAGGTGGTGAATTCAGAGCAACGTCATTCAAAACCATATGACTAGGTACACCGGTGACATTTATAGCTCTGTTAACATAAGACCAGAAACTATTTGGATTGTTAGAAATTTTCTGTTCAGCATTGGAGGTATATCTATGAAATGCACGATCCAGCTCAATCTTGATACTCCTTCGAAGCTCTTTGAATGCATCAATATCATGTGGATTGCATGTTCGTTTACAACGCTTCCATAATATCCGTTTTCTTTCAATCTTGGCAATTATTGAGCGGGAGAATCAGAGAGGATAATTGATATCTCTCGGCGTTGTTACTGGTTGTTACATGAATATCAAACAGAAAGTGCAGAATTTAGTAAAAACTGTCACAAGCAAGATCAACCTCTTTTAGTCCACAAAGGGACGAAAAATCAGCATTAAAGATATCATTGTACAAAGCAAGAATATTACATTTTTTAAAATTCTACTTTAATGACGGTAATGCGTGTCTGTGGTGTGTATATACAAGAAGGTAAAGAAACACGAAGAAGGCCAACTGGTCCACCGAGGCGTACCACAGAGCGTCAAGGTATGTGCTTCAGACAACTAGCCCTACGAGACCGTAGCTACTACGCGTCAAATCGCTGACCAATGACTTGATGAAGAAGATAAACCTGTTGCTATGGATACACTCTATCGCCGCATTCGAGCCTTTCGACTTTTTTTATACCGTCCAAGGTTAGTGCTTTCTCTGACTGCGGACCACAGTCGTCAACGTTTGAGCTGGAGCGTAGAACGTCAACATTGGGAGGCAAAATGTCATCTTCAACGATAAATCGCGATTCTATCTAGGTACGCACGATCGTCGTAGAAGGGTAAGACGCCGCCATGGAGAATGGCGTGAGATTAGGTTTGCTGTTGAGAGGTATGTACAGAGGACTGTTGGAGTACAATGGTTTAGGGGGCTATTGCCTATGGCAGCTCATCACCAAGGCAATATGACTGCTGTGCGTTATGTTGATAATATCCTACAAACCATTTTACTGCCATATCTAGAGGGTCGTCCACACGTCCTTTTTCAGCAAGACAACGCACCTCCCCATTTTGCTCGTCATACTACGGACTTTCTTCAAGAAGCAGATGTTAATCTGTTGCCGTGGCCACCCCACCCCGTTCACGGGATTTAAATCCCAACGAACATGTGTGGGATATGCACCATCCTCTACAGACTCAATTATCTCATTTTGTCGATGCCTAGTAGTACCTAAACGGAACTGTATTCAGCTGCGGGGTCACATCATTTTGAAGCTCCTGACTTGTGCTTTATAACCGTGGAATATAAAGTCAGTACCTTTACCTACTAAAAAATGGTGGTACATTTAATTATTACCTGAATACATTGACATTTAACTTGATAGTTCGAATAAATACGTTGAGTTCAGTTTAGAAATGGTTTCCTTGAACTTCTTGACACAATAACAGCCGGTCCGTAATTTCGCGTCTAACATTTTCAAACATAGTAACATCGATGTTTCTACAAACTTTTTTATTCTCAGCCGTATATCCAATATTGAAGCACGCTCAGTTTCGTACAAATTTTGCTTCAAATAGCCCCTTACAAAAAAGTCTAAAGGTGTCAAATCTGGCGAGCGAGCTGGCCATTCCACAGGACCACGAAGCCCAATCGAACGAGACTGGAGTAGTGTGGTGGAACACCATCTTGCTGGAATACAATATCAGTACCGAATTCATTAGGATTCGCTTCGACGATTTCGGTGATTAGAGGGTCAATAATATTTTCCAGCATATCCAAATACAGCTCCCCGGTTAAGGTTTGTTCGATAAATAGAGGCCCCACAATATGATTTCCCAATATCCCAGCCCAAACGTTAATTTTTTGTGGATATTGAGTATGAGTTTCCCGTGAGGATTGGTGTCACTCCAATAACGACAATTTTGTCTATGCACATTACCTTTGAGAAAAAATGTACATTCATCACTAAAACAAAGATTTTGGATATAGGTAGGATGCCGCGCAATGGCTTCCGTCATAGTCTCGCAGAATTCTGTTCTTCGATCAGGGCCATCTTCAGTTAGCTGATGTACCATTTGAATTTTGTATGGGTGATGCTTATTCTTTTTCAAAAGTCTCCATACAGTAGAAGGACAAACCTCACATACATTCGCGATGGAGGAAGTAGACTGTTGGGGATTTACTATGATCTCACTAATTATTTGAACTTGCTTTTCTTCCGGGATGGTCGGATGACCTGGGGGCTTTTTGTTGTTTACACTACCAGTAGCCGTAAATTTAGATACAAGTTCTCTTAAATACTTTCCACAGATAGGGCGATTCGGAAAACAGTCATTAAAAATCCTTTCGGCCTCGTGAAAGTTACGCGTCGCACCATAAATAAAAATCGCTTCGATTTTTTCCTCCAGTGGACGAGAATTGTCCATTTTAAAAATAGTTCAAACAGTATCCAGCACTAAAACCGAAAACTAAATAAGAATATTTCAACTGTACAATGATGTTTGTTTTCGTACTGATATTCTTGTCCGTGTCAACAAAAAATAACAAAACAAGTTTTTATCGCTGTTGCTGTGGATACGGCAGGGAATTACAATTATTTCTACATACATGCATGTCAGTGGGTTTCTGTTCAAGTAATTATTAAATGTATCACCGTTTTGTAGTAGGTTATATTTCATAAAATACTCTTGAGGAGCTTCAAAATAATGTGCCACAAGACCCCCGTTTTCATATAATGTTTTTCCAAGATGGCGCCCTGCAGCCATCTTGACATTTTCATCAGTCAATTTTACTGTAAAATATGTTATCCACGCATCAATTTTATTACCTCAAGTTTTAATTTTTTTAATTGATCCGCTCAAAAAATCAAAGGGGAGGGGGACATTAAAGAAAGGCACTGTATGTAATTTCATTTTGTAAAAAGGTGTCTCCCGTAGAGTTAGTTAATAAATATGTAAGAATTAAAGAATCATGGTAATCATATTTATTATGTTAGAGAATATGCTCATAGTAGTGGAAAGTACAGACTCAATTTACTTGAGGCCACTTTTTACGAGGGATGTCTTTTAAGTTTTGCATATAGAAACGTAGTAGGACGCGCGGATTGAACGTCAGTCCTGAATCCTAACGTCACTCTTCAGTAAACTTAAATTCAAAGTTTCACAACAATACGTGCAGTGTTCTCGCTACAGTAAATTTTTAAGTGACACCAAGTCATTAGAAAAATGTAACTCAACCGAGAACATTTTCGCGCCATAATTTATTACAACTTTCAGAGACAAGTATCGCAACAAGAATGCCTTGCCGAGTTACTGCCTGTTTTAGGCAACGAAGCGCCACATCAGTCGACAATTTCCCGTTGGTATGGAGAATTCAAACGTGGACGGGTGAGTATTAGCGTCGATCCCAGGGTGGATGCACCAAAAACGGCAGTCACCCAGGAAAACGTCGATGCTGTGCGCAAACTCATCATTGAAGAAAGACGTGTGACATATCGCGAGATTGAGGCGTCCTTGAAGATCTCAAAGACCTCACTTCAAAAAATTTTACATGAAGAATTAGGAGTATGAAAATTAGTTTCCTGTTGGAACCCCACCTGTTGACGGAAGAACAGAAAGCAGCCAGGGTTAATTGCTGTCAAAAAACGCTTGACCGTTTCAATTCCGGAAACTCAAAAAATGTGTACAGCATTGTTAGTGGTGATGAATCGTGAATTTACTGTTATGAACCAGAAAATGAACGACAGTCGGCTGTTTGGGTGTTCCAAGGTGAAGAAAAGCCAACAAAAGTCATCCGTTCTCGAAGTGTTTAGAAAAAGATGGTCGCGACATTTGTGTCAAAAGCGGGTCATATTGCAACAATTCCTCTTAATGAGCAAAGAACTGCTACTGCGGATTGGTATACCACCATTTGTTTTCCAAAAGTCATCAGCAAGCTTCGAAAAATCAACCCCGAAAGAAGAATCATCCTCCACCAAGACAATGCAAGCTCGCACACAGTCCAAAAAACAAGGCAGTATTTAACGGAAAAAAACGTGGAATTATTGGACCATCCTCCATATAGTCCCGATCTAAGTCCTAACGATTTTTTTACTTTCCCGAAAATTAAAAACAGACTGCGTGGTCAAAGGTTCCAGTCACCAGAAGAAGCAGTTGACGCATTCAAAAATGCCATTTTGGATCTGCCAGCAAACGAGTGGAATAAGTGCTTCGAAAATTGGTTTGAGCGCATGCAGATGTGTATTAATCTTCGTGGAGAATACTTCGAAAAACAATAAAGTCTTTTAAAACTACCTACCGTGTTGTTTTATTTCCATATGCAAAACTTAAATTCTGTTCCAAAGACCTCATCATAAAAACCTGTAAATTCGGATGTAGGTACGAGTAATTTCAGTTTTTGAGTACTCGCCAAAAGCAAAGTATTTTTTGCACGATCTCGAACATTGAAGCTAGGTCTTGAAGAGACTCCTATCTTGTCTGGAGTTTAACTCTGAACCGGTTAAGACATTCCAAAATATCTTTTTGAAGTTCTTCTTTCAGTGTGACTCGTGCATCACTGGCCATCTCACCAACCTCCTATTTTTAGGACGAAGCCGGCTTTCTGTTAGAATATCGTAGTCTTCTGATTTTTAGCAATATCTATAGCCTCTTCCACAATGTGAACTCGTTATTCTTCGATATAAAGACAAAGTGCATCTATTTTTGTAGAAGTTCCATCAACAGTTAAGCCTTTACTTTGCAATGCAATCTGTGGATTTTTTTATATTTGTACATTGTTATTAAAGTTGAATAACCGGGTGAGTGTCACCGCAAAAAAGGTGACACCCGGAGCGGACCGCCCCCCCCCCCTTGCTGCGTCACTGTATAAATGGCCGCTTCATCTCCATTCTGATTAATATGGATACAATGGACACACTATCAGGAGTTAATCAGATTGGTATGACCAGTCTGCGATTCGGATCTATGTACAAGTACCTTTAACCAACAATTTAGCATCAAACGTTCATTAGCATATGCAATTCTTCTCGAACCTATAAAACATGTCTGAAACAATACTCAAATCCGGTGTATAACTCTTTCGAGCAAAGACCTTTTATCCTTTACATTAGCCCAAATTCAGATTTCCCTCCCTATACAGGATGTTCCTTAATGGTATGCGAATATTTAAGGGTGTGAATCTACATGAAAAATTAATGTTAGTTTGTTTTATAAACTATGGTCCAAAAATGTTTCTTTACAAAAACCCGGGGTGTTGAGGTTTTAGGAAAAAAATGGAAATTAATTAATATTTTCAGAACCGCTCCAGATATTTCACTGATATTTAGTACGTAGTAAAAGTTAATAATGTTGCATATTTTCCAATGCAAAAATAATTTTTAGCCTTAACAGTGGCGTGCGTACGGGTATTGACTCCTATATTTTTTAAGAAAAAAATAGTTCGTCAATGGTTTTTTGCCAAATAAAAATTATTTTTGAATTCCCCGTTCAATTTAAAACAAATGATCTCTCTTGAGTTGCTCTCCTTGAATGTGCCATTTTTGATTAAAGAGATAAAAACCGTTCTATTGTCTAACTTGCAAAATTATTATTAATTTAATGGAAAAATTAAACACATTAGGAGTAATGAACAACAACAACTGACAACATAAACAATACTAAAACCAACGAAATGATTACAAAAAATGTTGAAAATGGCCCCCTTCACTATGCATGCTTCCGCCCTCCTTCTCTTGGAATTGCGCACTCGTTGACATATCCCTGCAGTGTTTTTTATTCTATCACAAGCTGCAACTCTTCTTTCTCTTAATTCTTCTACAGTGTTAATGGGACTTGTGTACTCTAGTGTCTTAAAATAGCCCCACAAAAAGAAATCTAAACTGTTGGGGTCTGGGGACCTTGGTGGCCATTCCTGGGGCCCACCGCGGCCAATCCAACGATTTGGATAAACAGTTTGTAAATAAACTACGAACCGCTAGACTGAAATGCGCTGGTGCACCATCATGCATGTACCACATATTGTTTCTTATTAATAACGGAACATCATAAAGCAGCAAAGGCAACTGTTGTTGAAGAAAATTGAGGTAAGTCTGTCCGTCAAGTTGTCCCGGCAAGAAGAATGGGCCAATAATTCCTGCCCATACGTTAACCGAAAATTGGTGTTGGAAATGGGTTTCGGTTACGGCATAGGGGTTTTCTTCTGTCCACAAATGATTATTGTGGATATTCTAAATGGCATTTCGAGAAAAATTAGCTTCGTCCGTGAACAGAATCATTGATTCAAATTGCGGATTTTGTGTAATTTTTTGAAGATACCACTGACAAAAGGTCACACGCCTTGGAAAATCAATGGGAAGTATAATGCCTGTACTCTTAAAATATGGTAAGGATATAACAAAAAATTCCACTAAAATTCACCAAACAATTTGATGGCAAATATTTAAGTGTGTAGCGATCTTCCTCGTACTCGTTTCAGGATGTTCTTCGACTTCATGCAGCACTGCTTCCTCAATTTCAGGTGTTCTCAAACTTAGAGGTCCCCCTTCAGGTGTTCCATTTCGGACCAAACCAGTTTTAACAAGACGACGATGAATATTAGAAAAGGTTTCTATCGTACTATCTGGCAAAGCACGATCGGGATATCTCTGGTGATAAATCCGTTTGGCTTGCTCGCCATTACCGTCGGCAAGGCCATATACGTAATGCATTTCCGCCATTTCTGCATTTGAATAATTCACCATTATTAACAAGATTGTAAATATGTACTAAATAACGAAAAAGATGTCACAGCGAACAGATTTGAATAACAGAGATTTGTCAGATGTCAAGAGCCAGTGACTATATATTTATTGCTAAATTGCATTCTTCAATTATTACATTAATTTTCTCGGACAATAGAACGGTTTTAATTTTTTTACGAAAAATTGGCGCAACTCAAGCGATATCATTTGTTTTAAATTGAACAGGAAATTCAAAAATAATTTTTTGTTGGCAAAAAACCATTGGCGTACCATTTTTTCTTAAAAAATATCGAAGTCAATACCCGTAGGCACGCCACGGTTAAAGCTAAAAATTATTTTTGCATTGAAAAATATGCAGCATTATTAACTTTCACTACGTACTAAATATCAGTGAAATATCTGAAGCGGTTCTGAATATATTAATTAATTTCCATTTTTTTCCTAAAACTTCAACATCCCGAGTTTTTTAAAGGAAACATTTTTGGACCATAGTCTATAAAGCAAACTAACATTAATTTATCATGTAGATTCACACCCTTAAATATTCGCATATCATTAAGGAACACCCTGTATAAACACAAAACATCACAGATAAACGTTATGTTACCTCCATCAACTTGACATGACAGGAACAACTCTCGGCCTTCCAAAAATGGCCCGGCTGGCGCGTTGATCCGCACCTCCTTACCTTCTGCATCGAAGATTTTAGGCGCAGAAGGCTGGACTGAAACAAACGAGAAATCACGTGTCAAATGTCAGTATAGAAGCAACAATAGTATATTTCAAAACGAGGTTACAAATGGAGGAATTATTAGTGGAAAGATTTTATATTATACGTATGTACAGGGTGTTTCAGTTTATTGTTGCATAACTTTAAGATTCGATAGAACTTTTAAAATTAATGCATAAAGTCTATATAAACATGAGTCGAAAAATGCGTGGCTTCCGAAATACAGGGGTTTAAATTTACTTTCTAAAATAGTTTTTTTTTAAATATTTCCAACAATATTTGATGTATAACAGTGAAAACTGGTATACAAGGGTACGACAAAACGAACCATGAGCATAGTTTTACTGTAACCGCTAGAGGGCGCTCTCTACTGGACCTGTAGTGTATTGAAATGACCGAAAAATTTTTCTTAGTGCAATTTTTTGCTTTTTGAATAAAAAAATGATTCTTCGCACTTTTCAACATAAAAAAGCTCTCTTGTGAATTTTCGTTATAGTTAGCCAATTTTGACATATTTCGATTTTTAAGGTTCGATTCATTTTTATTTATTTATGATAAAATAACGTTAAAAAGTCAGTATCTCGATAAGTTTTAGAATCAGGCTGTGCCTGCAAATATTTTTGAAATTGAAAGCAGAATAAGGTTAAACGTTTGACAGTTAGTTTTGTTGTCTGTTAAAACCTGAAACGTTTTTTGAAATTGTGAATGCACGAAATTTAGTTTCTTTTAACTGTTTTTTTTGTAAGTTTTATAAAAATGCCATTTTTATTCTCCAATCAAGAGTTAGCGGATATTCATTTTGTGTATGGCTTTGTAAATGGAAACGCAGCAGAAGCAGCCAGAGAATACGCACGAAGATATACAAACAGACGACATCCAACTCGCTCAGTATTTGTAAGAGTGCATCGCCAAATAATTGAAAATGGTTTTGGAAATCTCCAAAGGGATCAAAACATAAATGTTCGTCAGCGCAGATTTACCCGTATGATTCTGCGTGAGTTTGATAGAGATCCGACCACAAGTGTTAGGATAGTTTCTGGTGCCTTGGGAATTTCAGCAAGCCATGTTCACCGTGTTCTTAGAAATGACCATAGACGTCCTTACCATTTGCAACCTGTGCAAGGACTACAGCCAGGGGACGGAGAACGAAGAATCACATTTTGTCAGTGGATTCTTGATAGAACTGATACTAATAGGGAGTTTTTAAGTAACGTTTTATGAACCAATGAGTCATGCTTCACTTGACGTGGAGTGGTAAATTTTCATAATCAACATATTTGGTCGCATGAAAATCCGCATGCAGTTCGGGAAAGAAATTTTCAGCATGAATTTAGTGTGAACGTGTGGAGTGGTATCTACCGTAATCGACTATTTGGACCCTACCTTTTGCCAGCAAGGTTAAATGCTGCGACCTTCTTGGAATTTTTAAAGGCTGAACATGCAAATATGTGGGATGATGTTAGGTTAGATTTAAGAAGATTGGCCTGGTTCCAGCTTGATGGTTGTCCAGCTCATTATTCGAGAATAGTTAGAAACTGGCTGGACGAAAATTATCCAGAAAGACGGATCGGCCGTGGAGGACCAGTCGCCTGGCCTCCACGATCCATTGACCCAAATCCATTAGATTTCTTTTGTGTGGAGATTTCTAAAACAAAAAGTGTACCAGACTCCCGTAACCACAAGAGATATGCTAATAGACCATTCGTAGATGTGAATTGTGTATTGAACAATTGGGTTTACATTTCGAGCAACTACTTCAGATTTTGTATGTTTGTACTAACTATCCAATAGCTTTTTAGTTGTAAATAATTAATTTAATTTGTTAAAAATAATATTTGAAAATTAAACAAATTAATATTCTGTTTTTTTGTGTTTATTTGGTGTTAGGAATTATTGCTGTGTTTAAAAACACAATCTATACGATTATCTTAATTACTTGTAATGCCCAAATCGAAAATGTAAAAAAAAATATTATTTTCCCACAATTAATTAAAAATGCATCGAACCTTAAAAATCGAAATATCTCAAAAACGGCTAACTATAACGAAAACTCATAGGAGAGCCTTTTTATGTTGAAAAGAGCGAAGAATCAGTTTTTCTATTTAAAAAGCAGAAAATTGCACTAAGAAAAAATTTTTGGTCATTTTAATACGCTACAGGTACAGTAGAGAGCGCCCTCTAGCGGCTACAGTAAAACTCTGCCCATGGTTCGTTTTGTTGTTTTGTCGTACTGTTATACATCAAATATTGTTCGAAATATTTAAAAAAAACTATTTTAGAAAGTAAATTTAAACACCCTGTATTAGGGAAGCCACGCATTTTTCGACCCATGTTTATATAGACTGTATGCATTAATTTTAAAAGTTCTATCGAATCTTAAAGTTATGCAACAATAAACTGAAACACTCTGTATATACGTTATGATTCAATGATCAAATAACATCTAAAGAAAAAACTTTTTTCAGCTTTATTCAAATATTGCCTGAATTTTGAAATATATTTATGGAATATCTTACTAAATCTATAAGGATATTCTCGAATAGAGTGCGCATAGATTTTGTTAGGGCAATAGCAAAAACCTATTGTTTTAACCCAGATAATGTCATAATAAATTAATTAAGTACTCTTCAGATCATAAATCTAAGATGTTATAATTAGGCACCCAAAGGAGAAAAGACAATGTCACACAGCTCTTGAGCATTTAGGTAAATAACCAAATCTTGAAATTTTATGATTCTGCAAAAATGCTTGGTGATGTTTTTAAAAAAAAAATTAAATTTATTGAGCATGTTAAAAGTCTTTCATTGAAAACCTACCTAAGGCTATGTGCCCTTATAAGAAACAGGTATTTACTTAATTTTAAGTAAAACGTAAAAAACCAGGAGTGCCTTTTCCTTATCTGTACTAAATAATTGTAGTATACTACACTTGTTTAGAAAATTTCACTAAAAACGTTATCCAAGTTATTCAAAACAATTGTATACATATTTGGCTTAAGTGAATTTGGTCATGTATCAGCGAAATGTACCGTTAAAAATTAATGATTATAATGACATGCCTAAAGTATATAAAAATTGTTTGTTCCCTGTATTTCAACAAAAAGTTAAAACAATATTACTTAACCCTCCAAACATTTTACGTAATCAAGCATTTTTCTTCATCCCTTGTTTTAGTCCGGTTAATAATTTTTGGTGGACTTGGGTTTGGAAAGTATACGTTTTTCTTTTTTTATGTTTTACTCCCGATGAAACTAATCAAATACATGGTGTCCCAACGGAGAAAAAACGCTCGAACACGTCAATTTCGATTTCTAGTGGGACATCTTTTCATCTAGCCGTACAATACAGGGTCATCCCAAAATAAGATATTGCGTCACGCTTTAGATTTTTAAATGGAAACCCCTATTTTTTCAATTCTTAGATTTTTCATGAAGCTTATAGTAACTTTTGTATAATTAAGTTTATACCAATCTTCAATCGTTGTAAAGCACTCGAGAACTGACTACTTCTCCAGGATTTACACGCTCAACAGTACGAAGAATTTTGAAAGACAATAAATATTCACCCGTCCAAGATAAAACTTGTCCATGAGCTTAATGAAGATGATTTTGATAGAAGGCTGGAGTATTGCGAATTAATAATGGGTGATTTTTTGCTAGTATCTTTTTGGCAACACTGTTTTTGACAGATGACGCGTGAATCGTGTCTTGTGTCATTGTCAAACTTGTTCAGTTTGATCTATAATTTAACCATGAATCGACTTACGAACGAACAACGCTTGCAAGTTATTGAATTTTACTACCAAAATTCATGCTCGTTTAAGAGGGTGCATGGAGCACTGCTTCCAATTTATGGGCAATTTGGTCGGCCTACTGAGGGAGCTATTTGGAAGCTTGTGACTAAATTTCGAACCCAGTTTACATTATCGGACATTAAACCACCAACACGCAGACGTAGAGTGAGGACTGAAGAAAATATTGCGGCTGTATCCGCGAGTGTTAGTGATGACCATGAAATGTCGATTCGCCGCCGTTCGCAGCAATTGGGCCTCTGTTACTCCACTACGTGGAAAATTTTGCGACAGGATTTGGGTGTAAAACGTTATAAGATACAGCTGGTGCAAGAATTGAAGCCACACGACCTCCCACAACGTTTCCAATTTGGTGAATGGGCGGTGGCAAAGTTGGAGGAAGATCCACATTTTTATCGAAAAATTGTGTTCAGCGACGAAGCTCATTTCTGGTTGAATGGGTACGTTAACAAGCAAAATTGCCGCATCTGGACTGAAGACCAGCCAGAAGCATTGCAAGAGCTACCACTGCATCCCGAAAAAATCACTGTTTGGTGTGGATTATGGGCCGGTGGCATCATCGGGCCGTACTTCTTCAAAGACGACAATGGCCGGAACGTAACTGTGAATGGCGAGCGCTACCGTGCGATGATAACAAACTTTTTTTTGCCCAAAATGTAAGAGCTGGACTTGGCTGACATGTGGCTTCAACAAGACGGTGCCACATGCCACACCGCACACGAAACAATGGTTCTATTAAGAGACGAGTTCGGTGAGCAGTTTATCTCACGTTTGGGGCCCGTCAATTGGCCGCCTAGATCGTGTGATTTAACGCCGTTGGAGTATTTCTTGTGGGGCCATGTTAAGGCTAATGTCTACAGGGATAAACCAGCAACGATTGACGCACTGGAAGCCAATATTGAAGCATTTATTCGTGAGATACCGGCCGATATGTTGGAGAGAGTGTACCAAAGTTGGACCTTGCGCATGGTCCATCTAAAGCGGAGCCGCGCCCAACATTTACATGAAATAATCTTTTTCGAATCGTTTTTTCAAATTTTTTGTGTTTTTTTTGAAAATCAAATCCTATAGCTCTTAAAAAATCACCCGTTATCTGACCATTTAATCAACAATGCAAATCTGTTATTTAATATTTGTTTCTGGGATGAGTTCTATTTACCTGTACAAGATGCTGTAAATAGACA